GAAAGCCAACAGGAAAATCATCAACTGACTCAAGTTCCCTTATACTGATGGAAACAGACATCCGTTGGCTGTTTCTAGGCATACATACATTAACCTACGCAGAAGCTCGCCGAACAGTCATTATAGTTATTATAACGCCTCCAGGGACATGGCCACGTTCGAAATACATGGCTGCATCAATGAATATATAATCGTCTTGTGGGGAGCAAATCTTTACGTACACTTCCAAGGAGAAAACACCAAGTCGACTTGAACACATGCTTGGTGAAAAATTTCTGTGTATTCATTGTTACATAAGCAAAACGACTCGTTGCTGTGAGCAATATCAATAACTCACTGTCCAGTGGTATCATTTGTACGCTTAATTCGTTGGCCACAACTTTTAACACACACACACACACACACCTTATAAACCTTCACAACCCTTGAGTGCCAGGTTAACACTGATTCTGTCACGACGCCATCATCTAAGTACACAAAATACTGAAGCGAACATTTCTTTTCGGGTATACTATCGATTTTGCCTATGTGGGCCTACTAGAAGCGCCTAGATATTTATATCCTTCTAATTAGGCTACGCTGTGTGGCATCGATAGCATTGCTTGTCGTTTTTACTAATAATTTAGACGTAACTATCGTTAGACATCTGTCTATATATTTCTATCTATATAATGGTTTCGTATCTGCGACCACCGTAAGTTTACTTGAACATAATTGTCGTACGGGCAACGTGCCTAAAAGACTTGGCGCGTAGCACCATATTTCTTGGGACGTTGGGACGTGACAAGCAAACCATGAAAGGTAAACACATCGCCTGTTAATTACTGACTTTCAAAATGAGGCCAAATAAGCTCAAGATCACCGAAAGAGCTAGAGCCCCAAGCCGTTTCGAGCGACAGGGTGGCGGCACGACATTGGCTGCGTTTTGTGCGCGCACACTACGTTGATAGGATATCTTCTATTCTGGGCCGCGTAAGAGTTTGCATGTATCACAGAACGATGTCAGAGACAATTCTGATAAATTTTCTCAGCCAGTTATTTCAAAAACGGTCAAAAATTTCCGCAAAATTCTACGCAGTATGTACAACATTGGACTTCCGAAAAACAAACTTTCCTCATATCTTTCCATACTGTGGGATATAGGGGTTTTCTTTATATTCATAATTTTTTAAATGTTTTAAAAAAAAAAATTCTTAGCAACTCTGCTACGATACTGGTATGACTGATAATATATTTCGAATACTCATAACGTATATTATCTCAAGCAGCTCTTGCCATAACACAAATTGCACGTTGAATTTTAAGGCGTCAGACCGTCCTCTTAAAGCGCTCTAAACATGAATAGCTAACACCTATAGCGTGGTCACACTAAAAATATGCAGAAATTTCAACGTCAGTATAGAAGAGTCGTGATATTCTCAATTGTTTATCTATTGAATAGAATCCAGAAACAGAGAAAGACTAATAAAATACATTCAATTTGTATCTTCGAGTGACGTAAAATTTGTAGTTGAGCGCTTTCGGTAGCCAATATATTCTGTCTGTGTTTTTGTGAGTACGCCTTTCTAGGTGAGTTTGCAGAGCACAAGTGAAGTAAGCTACTCTTTTATAATGCCCGCAAGTTTAATAACTTCTAGCCAGCTGTGAAGTGGAGACTATTTGGGCTGGATATTAAATTTCGAATGACGGCGCCCAGTTCATCCGGGCCGTCGATTGTCTTTGCGCGGGACATATGAAGGTGTCACTTAAATCTGATGCAACGCGGCGAGGTCATCTAGATCTCTTTCTTAATAGTTGAATGCGTTTCAGGTACAATGACTTCCGAGATGTCAGTAATTATTAACATTATTGTTAACAGGACAACGATATAAACACAGTCAATTTGTGATCGTGTTACTAAGTAAGTTGTTGTTATTTATTCTATACGCTAAGACACTATTTAGCATGCTTTCTACGCCTTCTTCTATTTAGTCTGCTACGTGAATCATCATCATCATCCTCATTAGTTCGTCATGTTTACCATGACGAGGCGCGAGACATATGAACACAATTTTTTTTTATCTATCGATAGGAACTCTACAAAAAAATATTGCAATGCGACAATGTTTGTCAGCGAACGCATTTGTGTACCTTTCCAGACGCATTAATTAGCGAATAACTGTTAAATTATAATAATAATAATCGTATTGTAAAATTACCAAATCATTAAAACATACTACAGCATATAGCAGTTGCTAATATATAATTATATATTATTAATACGTTCTTATATATTATTATATTAATAATAATAAAGTTCTGGATTCATATCGCGAACTTCCGTACCACCAAGTCTCTTTTTACACCAAACAGAAAGACCTATTTTAAGGTGATACAATTTCCAAAAACTACAAATAAATATACGAGGCTTTTTTTGCTCATTCTCATTTCTTAGAGCGTCTCTGCGCATTAAATATATTGAACACGAGCGACCATAATTTGCCATTAGCAGGTACAATCAGCTTAATGGTAAAGAATCACACAGAGCTAGTCATCCTACTTTTCAAATATCACGTAACACTAAAGTAAGCATGCGCAGCTCCGAATATTTGGAGAAGCTTTACGGTATAAAACCGACATGAAAACATATCCGACAGCAGTATTTCAACGAACGATTAATCTGCGAACTTAAACTTAGCTAAGAGCAATACTGTAATTTAGATCAAGATAAAAAATCCTATAGACAAATGACCACAGCTGCCTAGAACCTTCTCAAACGGCTCAAACTTCTTCTTCCGCCGGCAAGAGTAGGTAAGTGAAACCTAGATAATATAGCAATAGCCAATTGGGCCATCATCAGTATTTCTATATTCGATATTATCCGGATTATATCCGGATGTTTGGAAAGTTATTTTAGGGGAATTACGTTAACTGAAATTTGACTATTTTAAACGAAGCATTTTATGCCGGATCCATTTTGCTATATGATTTCCGTTATACGGTGGGTTCTTTGATAATCGCAGCACTCAGTTACTCTCTTTGCACTGCTTTGCACTTTGTGAACACCCTGCACAACATCGAAAAATACAAAGGCCTTTTTATTGGACAGGAACGTAATGCAGTAACCGGGTCGGCTGTGTATCCGGCAGACCATCAACCCCGATCCACCATACGCTCGGATGGATGAGCTGAAAACTTTTTATTTGTTTAAAATATTTTGACGAATTTTCTACTTAAAAAGTATTTTTCGTGTTCTACGTCTAACACTTCAGTCGTTTAGGGCTCATTCAGACGGCTGGCTTTTGCCGGCACCAAACGGACTGTGTCTACGCCCGAATTCGAACCGTGGTTACCGCGCGTCCCAGAGTTAAGTACTGCGTACTACGCCTATCACTGCTGTCCCTTGTAAATATTGTACGTACAGAACATACGAAAACATGTTTCACTGGAAGTCTTAGGATTTCTGTCATGTATGCTAAGTCGCTGGATCAATTCTTAAACGGCTAATTAAACGATAGTATGACCGCAATAAGCGAGACATTCATAAACAGATTACGAGGTACAATATTAATAGTATGCAAGTCATACATAAATGATTAAATGGTATTCAATGAAGACCTTTTTCACGCCATATTGTTTCAGCTAGATATGAAGTAATCGATCGTTTGAGGATCGTGCAGATGTTTGTACTATTCAATCTACGTATCAATCAACCGTGAAAGACTCACCCGATTTACCCACAAGAAACCGATTAATCTAAAGATGCCCAAATTATTGCAAGGGCAAAAAATGTAATTTTGTTTTCTATGCATGTTAAGATGAGACCTGTTGGAGAAAAGGCCCTCAGAATTTTCCATAACGGTAATGCCTCTCGTGCATTCCGAGCTCAGAGTGGATGATTTCAGGATTAACTGATGTTGTTTGTGAGTATCCCGAGCTGATGGCGAGGAGGCTAGACGGTCTCACTCACTTAGTCACATAAGGCAGTTAGGTATAACTCTTAGGTAGATCTTATCGCAATTGGATTTATTTTTTTCTCTAGTTTAATTTACAGGACTATAGAAGCTAACGAATCATCCGAACGATATTATCCAGTTAGAAACGAATAGCGATCAAACCGCTTCGGACGGAATTCGACTCATTGGCAAAAATTTCAAGATCGATCTCGTAAGAATCCAACTGAAAGCTAATGAGAAACATAAATTATAAGTTTTCGATATTTCAGCACGTTAGTAACGGTCACGTAGGTGGGCAACATGCTTCACAAAATTAATTAGGCCTTCACTATGCCTCAACGGACAATCAGGATTAACTTAGAGATAAAAAAAAAAAAGCAAAATTTCAATTTTCTCTCTTTTTTGGTACTCACGGATCCCCATCGTCGTCATATTTTATAAGCAAATTGTGACGGCGCTGTTGCTGTCGTACAATACAGGTATGGCCTAAATTATGTCCCTGTGTGTTAATTTATGTAAGTAGCTTTAAGCAATTTTGCCATCAGGCGTCAGGCACGATCCAGGCGTGCGTATTGTCATATATAGTTAAGAAGTTACTCGCCTTTTATAGTACAGTCTCAATTATCGTATTGGGCTTGGTCACGACGTAACAGTAACGAAACAATCAATTCGAAATCATTAACTTGATGAGCTAATTAAATATCCCGCCTCGAAAAAGTACATAACTACAACCAAGACTACTCTTATTTACGTCGCTGTGTTTTGTAATGCAATGCAGGCAAGCCCATTACTCGTGTTTTGTCTTGCAGCTCGGAATGGTCAAGCTCGTGGTGCATTCGTACAAATTGAGATTTGATTCTCTGCTTGCACCTCAAGCCAGCTCGTGCGTATTGTAGTTTTACTTCCGTAATCATAAAAATCTTGAGCACATCAACAAATCGAACGCAGTTGTGACTCTTTGTCAACGGAGCTCTTTGCCTTAGAAGGTCAACTCTTTGTATATATATATATATATATATATATATATATATATATATATGTATATACATCAAGCTGGCACCGAGTCCTTCGTTTTCGTTGTTGGAGAAAATGGCTACCTACAAACTGCTCGTCATATCAGTAAGTGAATACTTACGATTACTCTAAGACACCATAAAGTAGAACAGTTTTAGGTAAAATGCATTCTATGAACCTTTGAAACGAGCATTATTCATTGCGCCATGCGTGTTCAACGTTGCTTTTTACACTTTATCAACTTTTTATCCTGCTACTTTCCCTATTGGTTACACCGTACGTCACCAAAACAGCAAAAAATTGCGATAATTTTCAGTGCCCATTTGAATTTTCAAAAGGCGCGAAAGTTCTGAACTTCATTTGTTTCACAGTTTCACAGATTTGTTCACACAGTTTTCGTACTGCGTGAAACGTGTGATATATATATATATATGCGTGTGCTTTTTAGCTAGACATATATACTAAATAAAATGTGGCTTTCAAAATATCTGTATAATACGCTTCGTAACAAAGTAAATTGACTGTAGTAAAGAAGTATTCAAACCATATTTGATAACTAAATTCAAGGCTAAAGGGAGAAAGGCTTCTACACGTCGAAGCATTGTATAAAATACCTATTACTGCTTCTCTAGCTTATCGGGGTACTCAACGGAATCCTCAAAGGTATGTTATCGTCATCTCTGAAAATTCGATACTTAGCTCTAGATCAATAAACGTGTAAAAATTGAATATTATTGGGTTCGGCGTAAGCATACTACGAGCCGTTAGTTAACAAACTAAAAGTAAAAACCAGTATCAGATTCATTCATAGCTTTGATATAATCAGATTATGTCAAATAATTGTGAATGTTTACGTATTTCAGGGCAATTCGTCACTCATAATTGCGCCCAGCATAGGGTGCGGGCAAAAAGCAGAATCGCGCAGGGATCCGATTTTATTGGCCTGAACTATAATAGTAAGTTCGTATACACAATTTGGTCAGGATGTTAATAACGTTTTTAAAGATGGTGCTCAAGAGAATTTAAACTGGAACTATTCATTGCATCAGTCCCCGTAAAATTTATATTGCAATCAACATAATCTAGGCCCCGTACGAAGTGGCAAGGTTATTGTGACCGGCCTGTCGCATGGTGCTATTTATTGACGCTTGGGATTAATTGGGCTCCTTAGAAAGCCTTATATTTAGAACATTCAGAGAATGGAACGAGAAGGTGCTGTACAATGTTGATAGCTCAAATAAAATAACATTTTTCTTTAAGGTGGTTTTGATCGTTCGAAACTAGAAGAATTGTTTATTCCTGAGTGCGAAGGCAACCGAGTGGACTATGCTGCTAGACAATGCTTTGATATTGGACGCAGCTTCTGTGCCTGTGCGGCTATCAATGGCACCATGCTTACTGACTGGAGGGATAACCTTCAAGCATGCAACTGTGTTCGCGCTCAACAAGTCGCCAGACAGGGTCAGAATATACATACCCAGATATACGATGCGTCTGTCTTCATAGATGCTGCAAAGGTTTTTGGAATCAGACAATTGTCCGGTGTAGAAGGTCCCATAAAAATGGCTGATGCTTTCAACACACCGCACGCTGTTCAGCTCCTTTACTATATCGTAATTGCCGGTTTAAGCTGTAGATATACACATTAGACTACGAATGTGTAGGCTCTACCAAAGGAATCGCATAAAAATTATACATAGGTCTTTTAATTTCTGCCTTTCTTCCCAAACGGTGAATGGTATTAAGGCAAGACGAAATTACATTCACATCAGCTGTTCAAATAATTTCATCTCCGACTATTTCTGCCTTGCATCTGGATGGCGCTTTACAGCGGCAGGGTATACTGGCATTCCTGCATGCGATCAGTCCGGGTTCTTCCAGAAGAGACAGTGCATTCCGCATGGCTGGTTAGTAGTTAAATAGGCTATTATAAATTTTAGTATATATAGTTCCTTATTTGGATAAGCAATTTATCTTATTGGCTAGTCCCTAATCGCGTGTTTTTTTAAAGGTGTGATACAGTCGACCCAGTAACTGGATATGTGATCAAAGGCCACAATAACTTAGACCCACTTATGGTAAGATGCCTAGCTGAGTGCACGAGTACCTTTCGAAACTGATTTTTATGGAATATAAATTATCCATGTAAATTTCTAACTTAAGACTTTCCTTTATGGGTAAATTGAACGTGAAAGTTCATCGAATTTGCGCTTGCAAAGTTTGCTCCTAACCATCTTCGAAAACGAATAGATCCACAAAATTGAGCTACAAGATTTGAATCAGTGGAGTGGAAATCACTCGTGCCTGCCTATGGCAAAGTCACGTTTGATCACTGTGGGTATGATGATATTTCCTATCAGTAGATTATTAAGGATTGGCTTCACCAGGATCCAGGGAATAAACTCGTTGCTAAAACATTGACGCTGTGAAGTTGCAACCGCTATATAAAAAGCAAGCCAACAAAGCCTCCATCTGTAATACGCCGCCGTATTTTCCGAAACTAGTTTAACCGTGTTGACAGGTTACCCTTTCCAATTATTCCTCTATAGCATTAATTATGCTTCTAATTTTCGCAGTCGTTCAGGTTTACTCAGCACCTGATATGGGAATATTGGGTTCGAATCTTTACTCATCGAAGCCCGAAGTTTGATACATCGCTAAATCTGAAAACTTGAAACGCGTCAATACTTCCGTATTCAGTAAAATAACAATGTTTTTTTTTTTTTCACTAAACATAACACATCTTGCATGTCTTATATGTGTAATTTATGTAGTACCGACAATCACGAAGCCGAAATATACTCCTTAGACGTCCAAATCTACATTACCAAGGCCGTCATAATCACCAGTTTGGTATGAAACCCAAATCGTCTGAAGAAAAGGTGAGAGAGAACGAACAAATAGTTTGGATGCGTCTTATACGGAACATGTGCCTAAGACGAAACGTGTGACGATTTAAACCTTCAAATAAACCCACGTTAAATTTTTTCCAGGGCAGAGGGTTCGAACAACATGCACATGACTACCATCGACGTATGAAAAGGTAAGACTCCATGACGAAGCGACGCTCGGTAGACATATATAATAATAATAAATAATATGTATTTGAATTATCTATATATGTGTGTGTTTATATGAGGTGACGGTCACAGACTAAATTGTTATATACGTTCAGTGTAACTATGAATGCCTCCCTTGCCATCTTATCTGTCTATATAAGATGAGCTCATTCAAGTTGTTTTCTACCACTTTACGGGTAGTTCATAAGCTGGAGCTTCATTCGAATGAAACGAACGAAGATTTCAATATAGTAAATGGTTAAAACAATCATGAGTACACAGCAACCAGAGATGACAGAAATGCAGTAGTAACATAGTTGCCTATTGAGTAGACGGACACGAAGGTAGTCTAGCTTTGAAGCTGGGAGTGGAGACATCTTCATTCTACTGTAAATATGCAAGATATATGGGGAAGGTTAAAAATATACCGTAGTAATCCAAAGATACCCCGTTCCCACGTATAAGCTGCGCTCTGATATTCGTAAACGGAAAAACGAAAAACGATGATCCGAACATATTGCAAGGAAAAATAAAAGCGTCATAGAAGAAAGCTAGCAGTAAATGTAGCGCGCGTATTTATTTTTAACTATTAAAATTTGGTTAAAAACGTCCGGCTTATCATTGAGCAAATACCATAGTGATCGCTTCTCCTGCTTGGCCTAGGTCCCCGAAGTCATGCTTAAACTAACGCTGCCAAGGGCTGTCGTAGAAAGGACAATTAGCAGTTACGAGACAAGATGGCTACGAGAAAAGCGAAATGGTTGAAAGAGATAATTGTCCGTTTGACCATAATGTGTAAATAACGTTCTGTCTTTCATAGAATTATTTGTGATTTGTTCCACGTTTTTTAAAACAATTAAAAAAAATATTACAACGGAATATTTTATATTAGTGTAATGTGTTCAAACGTACCCTATTGATTTCTTGCGTCAAGTTTTCATCGAAGAAATAGTTACCCTAAAGTTTTTTTGTCGAGCCAGGCCAAAGCATCATCGTTCGAAGAATCAAAAGAAGTTCGACCCGGACCAAAGCCCAGAAGAAACTGAAAAAACTTGTAAGTACCTATAGTATCTTTGCATTGGACGTTTCGCACAAATTCACATAAAGGACGCTGGCAACCTTAGATCATTACCAGTAATATTTTGCAAACGTACAATTTAATTCATAATGATACTGTAACTCTTAGGCTATCGAACGTTTCTTAGTTTATAATCTAGTCCATCACGTCAGTATTTGTTTGTCAACGTCGATACGCTTGTGGATGATTTTGTGTATAGGCCTTCCATATGTCAATCTTTGTTAGAAAAGCTACCTTTTTCTACTGTTCTCACCCAAAGCTTGTTTAATCTTATTGACTCATATGTTGTATAGAGCTAGACTATGAATAGGCACTATAGTACCTGTGAAATCACCCTGTATTGGTACATTTTTTCAGCGTAACTTGTGCGGCCGTCTTTCGGACAGCGTGTAGTTACTGTGGAAAAACATCACATTCTACAGCCATGAAGTGCATCCATTACAAATATACAGATTTTTTTTATTACGGTTAAATTATTATTAGATAAGAATTATACAAATTGGTGAAAAAATCAAATCGAGGTGTACAAATAATGCAGTGATATAAACTTTCATTCCTGGAGATCATCATTTGGCGGTAAAGATATATGTGAATCTGTAAATGATTAAGTAAACCTCGATATCGATAGTAAGTTTTTATTGACGCTAATGGGAAAGCATTATAGACTGCATAGGATTGGAACTTTTCCATAGAAAATACAGAACGAAGGTCAAATGGCTAAGGAGATAAGCCTTGTCCTTAACAGCAGACTCTAACCTTGCTAGTTTTTTTTGCTTGGGTTTGTTAGTGTACCGGGATTATGTAATGTCTACTGAAACACAAGAGAATAGCGCCAAATACGTTGTTCTTCATAGGTGTGATCTTCGCTTGAGGCTCGTTATCCATCACTAATCTACACTACGTCACAACGAAGACTGCAATACACTTTACAGACAACAGTGCATTTTTAGCCATTCTTTACACGTGACAGTAGTTATAATAACGGTCCCGAACCTTCGCCGTGAAAACTGAAGATAGTAGTTTAGTGAGTATTTCAGACAGGACAGACATCAGTACAAGCGAGTTCAACCTTTAGGCACCATTATACAAATCCTAGGAGGGTATAGCTCCGGGTGTTCCAGATAGTACGTAAACACCTTCATCAATATCTCATAAAGAAAATTATCTTCAGTTGCGTTGCTACCTGGAAAAGTATATGGGCAAATATATTAAAATTCGTGTCGATACGTAAATAGCATTGGGGACACACGCTTTTCTGTCACTCACGAAACTGACCACTGAAGGTATTTGGCAGAGGACTGACTCAATACATTAAGTACCAATAAAAAGGCCAGAATATGGTGCCTGCAGCAATCGGAGCTGGCGAGATAGCTAACATTGGAGTTCTTATATAAAAGGTATGTAACGATAGTATTCTAGGTGGCTCGAATATACCTATTGTCAAGGTACATGCAGTGCTTCATTCAATATCCAAGCAAGCACCCTGTCTGGAAGTTAAGCCAATCGCGTCGCGTTTAAAGCTTTATTAGTTAAAAGCTTGTGAAAATGAGTCTTTGAATAATAACGAGGTCTCTCCAGTTACCAAATCTATACGTAAAATATAAGTCAGTCATCATTCAAATTTTAAATGAGAGAGACATCGCCTAGTCGACTGCTTTTGAAATATCCACCGTACTACCTACGTTGTATTTGCACAAACTTCCAGACGAAACAAGGTCAAAGAAGGCAGTGGCACCAAGGCAGACCAACAAAGTAAAACCGGCCAGCAAACAATGTAGCTGAAATAACCTAAAGAGGCCCAATGTAGAAACGAAACATGATTAAGACGAACATAGACAGTGTACACAACGCCGCCAAGCGACCCCCAGAAGATCACAATGAAATAGAATAATCGAGGCACACACAGAAACGGAAACTAATTAATAATAGGAGGAGGATTCTAAAACAACAAACAGTGCTAAAAAAAAACTAAGGGAGTCACAGAAAAAAGCAGGAAGTTCAACGAAGGCAATGAATTAAGAAAAGTTGAAAAACCTGAAGCAGGCCAGATGGCAGAACGATAAAAAACACCTGATGAGGATGATAAAACAAAGGGCACACTGGTTGGGAAAAATTCCATGAACGTAAAGAAACAACAGAGCGTGCTAATATATTTGAATATGTTAAGGAAGCGAATGTCAAACGAACGCGTGATAAGCCTTCACACTGACAATATGGTGAAGTATCAGAAAAACAAAATAAAAAAACAGCGGCGGTAAAACATCTGATGAGTTTCAAAAGTCGAAAAAAAAAAAATATGAAAGCTTTAAGGAAGCCAGGGAGGAGGACACCTGACGAAATTACAGAATAAATTTATACGAAGCATTCTATGAAAGACGCAGGCAAAAATAATAAGAGTTAATCTGATGGCAACACAGAACAAAAGCGAAGTGGACTTTACAGAAGATCACAAAGATAGCAGCAGTAAAAAACGTCTGATGGGAACATGGAAGATGATGCGAGAAAGCGAAGCTTAAAAGCCAACAAAAACAAAGCAAAGAAATTATGGAAAATGTACGAGAAGATAATACTTCGAAGGAAAATGAAGCTCCTGAAAATGTCACTGAACAAAACAGTAAAAAAACATTCAATGAAGTTAAATAACCAAAAGAACGAGAAACTTTAGAAGGAGTCACAGAAGACGATAACGGCAAGGAGACACCCTAGAAAGATAAGGGAACGAAAAAAAGTGGAGCTTCTCAAGACATTACAGAAGAAAGTAACCGGAAAATATCATTGAATTGAAGCTCACGAAAATATCAACAAAACATTCAATGTAAATAAGTAGTCGAAGGAAGATAAAGTTCCAAAGAAAAGCACAAAAGGTATGAGTGAAGAAATATTCGATGCAAGGAAAATGCCACAAGGCACTGAACCTTATAAGGCAACCAGCGAAGGAAACTGTAACCAAGCACCCAGCGAAGATCTGGAGCCGTACGGAAGCGAACATCGAAGGAAACCATAAAAAATTACATTAAAGAAACATCTGAAAAGAAGTCGAGCTTTTTTGAAAGAAAAAGGAAGGTCAAACAATGATAGGAACACACATGAAGAATCAAAAGGAAATAGAAAACGTAGTAATAATAATAATATAATAAACGTGCCAAAACTAGTCTAGCAAACGAAAGTTTGTTCCGTCTATGCTTCTATACAAAGTCGCCAACGTATAAAATAAAAATATTACGAGAAACCCGCCACAAGTGAGAAAAAGTAATTATTATGTGAAATGATAAGAACAAGATGAGGCAGCAATTTTTAGGAAATTATTAAAAAATTAAAGCAAAAAGCGATACTATGGTCCTGAAGTAAGTGAACTTGAAACAGGTAGACTGGGGCCCGACAAGATTTCTTAAAGTATTGTCAGAATAAATTTACTTGGACGGCATTATTTTTACAAAATCTGTACGCCTAATTATCTCGATTGAATTCGCAAATTTTTGCCTGCAAAGTTGATTGTAGAAGATATGGAACCAGGCATAAGTTTCTTCAGCGAGAAGACATTCACTCAAATCAATACATCACGTCAATATTTTTTTTTATCTTAGCATACGTAGGCTACACTTAAACCTTTGCCTTCGTTGCTAATAAAACATTTTTTGATTTCAGCACCTCAGACTACGTCAGATGGGTACCTGTCTAAACTAGCTGAAGTTAATGAAAGCGACGAGCAGAGGACCACACCTACCACTCTGAAGAAAGAGGAGACGAGCGATAGAAACAAAGATTCTACCTCACATAAATCTAACGGAGCTCGCTAAATTTATGATAGCATTCCAAAGAGGCATTAAACCACGAAAAATACAAAAAAAAAAAACTCTTAGTGAATGAAAACAGAAAAAGAAACGAGTTCGTACATATGTGATTTCGCTTAGGTAACTCGAAATTCACAATATAGTGTATTATTAAATTCTTAGACATGATTTCATTTTATATATATGATATGTTTTGATTGTAGCTTTATCTTTGATCGAACAAGGCCGGCTCCACACCAGGCCCTAGGTACCTGAAAACAATCTGTTGTGATATTAATTATTTGCATTAGCTTGTTTCCCTCGGCTAACGGTACCAGGCGGGATGCCCTCATCCCGCATTTTTGACGTACTGCACCGCTGTCTCAGCTCCAGAGTGATTTCTTGGATAGCACGTCCTGACCGGATAGCTAAGCTTACATTTTATGAGCGGTTCGGGCTATCGCTATAGGCGACACAGTTTAACCGGGGTTCCCTCAGGAACTGCCGAGAGCCTTTTAGGCGGTCGGCGATGCCTTTTTTGGACAAACTGTTGCATCTCCAACACCAGCCGTCTTGGCATCATCGTATGCTGTAATTTACAGGGACTCATGCGTCATCGAATCCACGTTCACCCTCAACTTCTCCAACGAACTAGCTCGCTCTGAACGTCTGTGAAACCTGTCAATTTAACTGCTGCATGTAGTTGGCAAGTGAATGTGGCTTATGTAGTATCCCTGAGTTTGAAGATGGATTCCTCTCTCCGTATTATCGCGCGCCTTCAATTCGCCTAAATCTCAGGAGGCATCCTCAGGAGCCAGAGGTTGGATGACTTAATTGGCAGAGAGTGAAGGTAGCAGTCTTTATTGCAGTGACATAGATTCCCTAAGATGCTATAGTAGTGGCACCAAACTCATTGAAAGATCTATTACCGATCGATGAAATTTAAACTGCGATAAATAACGTTGATTTGTGCCAAGATCATACTAGAGCGATAATGTTTGTTGTTGTTGTGTTTTAAACGCTATATCACTCAAATGATCGTCTCGGATTCAAAACGTTTTGATAACTGGGTTATATAAATCAGGTATAGTTTCTAAAATATTCTATTTTATTTCTTTCCTTCTATGCTTTGTAAAGAGGCAAAAGCCAGCAGACTGTTAAACCAAAGTAAACACACTAAATTTTTCGGTTTGCGGCGACGGTCGCTACGATTCGAACAGCGTTTGTTCTTCCTGACAATACATTACTAACATAAAAAGCCGGTTAGTCTCTTCTATATGATTACAGTTTGCGCGGGGGTCTTGCAGCGGCCCTTTTCGTGAACGAAAACAGCATTAGGAAGGTTGATGAAAAAATTCATGGCAACAAAAATGAGACCGCGCCAAAAAGTCACAATATCTCTGTGAAGTGGAACAGTGTGCATGTTAATCTAACGACCTTTACACAAGGTCGTGCTCAACGACTTAACCTATCAAGAAGCACTTTATATTTTGAAGCACGACCTGCATTTTTGCCCGTCCTAAGGGAAACAACGCACTCAACCATCACAACCAAAAAGCACTATAAGTATCGTTTATTTGCAGATTACCTGTTGGAATGAAATGAGTGCTAGAGTTTCTTTGAGTACATCGTCTTCTCTGATGAAATTCACTTTCGAATGAGGGGCTATGAGGGATTCAGATAAGGCCAGAGTGAGGGCCAAGCAGCGATTTCGTTCACAACGACCCACTGTGTGGTACGGTTCGTGGGACAAAAGTGTAACTGGACTTTCTTGTTTCGACGTAAATTATGGAACGACAGCAGTTCAACGAACGACGAACCCCATTATGCCATGTTGCAACGTTTTCTATGGATTGCAATGCGAATATTAGATGCGGGCAAACTTTGGTCTCAACAAGGTTGGGTAACTTGCCACACGGCACCGGAAACGATCAGTCTGCTTGAAATCGTGTATTCAAACCGGCTGATCTCGTTATATCGTAGTGGCATCTAGTGACCTTGGTCTATTTACTCTTCCCAGTTTGTCCTTGTACGGCTAGGTGATGGATAATGTGTACTAAACAATTCCGAATACAATTTGCAATCTCTGACGGTGAACTATACAGAGCCATAATGCAAAGTTACGCAAAACGAATCGAGTCATGGAAGCCGTTTCTACGGGAACATTTATTGACCTTGTTTCTTATATATAATGGGAATTATATCCGGGGACATAGAAAGAAACTATTGTTTCCATTGGTGGGAGGATTTTTTAGAATATAAGCCTTTGGCCCATCCTATAGCATACACTCTTTTAGCTTTTGAATCTAATGCTATAGTCTTTGTTTTCGAAAAAACACACCGACAAAAGTTCGTCAGCGCAAAGTCTTACGATCAAAACTGCCCCTGAAGCAGTGCCAGGTTATACCATGCGACAGGCCCAACTATTCCGGTCAGCGAGAAATTGCGATCATTGGATTCCCTCGTGGGTCGTTAGCTAGCGCATTAACGACTTTTAGTTTATGAGTTCTTTGCATGATTTAAGGCACAGGGAGACAAAAAGAATATCAAATTAATATAATACAACAATCATCATCTGAGGTCTGGGAATAGTGTTTATATATAATTAAGCAGCAAGTTGACAGACCCAGAAAGTTGTTGCATGTCCACCTTGGCCTGTACGATACTGTTGTGGTAAACGGTGGGTTTTAAAGCAACGAATAGCTTTTGGGACAATATCTGGGTTTTATGAGACCACTCGATGAGATTAACTTGTCAATTCCAGTCTATAGGACAACTGTTCAAAATCTCTGCTGGTTTTTCTTGCAGGCAATCTCAGTTTTCTTCGAAAACGTTCAACAATTCGACTCAAACATCAGCAAAGCTCCGTTACCGAAACATTTAAAAAAAAAAGCAGCTTTATTTAATAAATAAGAACTCTGTAATAAATAAGTTCACTCAAGTGACCGAATTTAGTTTCATTTTACCATTAAGCCTTGTATTGAATTTAGTTAATGTTAAATACGTGTGTAATAATAACAACAAACGAAGTTAATACAATGCACATAGGTGTTGCTTTATTTACTGTTAAGTCAAATTTTCTCTTTCTTCTTCTTACCTATCGTTATTCATGCTGCAAATTTGTTTCCTAAAATGTTTCTGATTGTTGTTACCATTAATGACATCGTATCTCTCGTTATTGACATTGATGTTTATACTATTGTAGCGAGACACAATTAGCTGTCGTTTATCTAGATGTGTTTTTTTTTTTTCTATATACTGTTTTATTGTGTTGACGACATAACTATTGTTGGCACTGATAAAAGACTAGCTCATCTATCTCTATGTATTTTCGAAACACTACCGCCACCTAGTGGTTGGTCGTTCGTTCTAGCTGACCATATCATCATCGGGGTCGTTGGGCCAAACAATATTGTATGAAAACGCTGAGCGTATGATGTGCCCATTTTCATCCGTCAATTTCAAATAAAACGATGACATGGCAGCGACTCTTCCATCTTCGTTTCAGTTTGTATTGCAAAATTCGGCTACAGTCAGACGATGGGTATTTCTACCTCGGCGTTCCATTGTTGTTATTATTATTATTATTATATACTTAGTCTATTATTGTTATTATTCATAGCCTGTGTGTCCGTCTCATTGTCAATGTTATTATTTTCATGATTATCTATATCATTATCCTTCGTATTGTAATTACTAATATTCGTATTAACGTTCGGTATGCGCGCAAACGGTTTCTCCTTTTATCGAGCGGCATTACCATCGGTATCCTAATTACTATATTGCCTTCAGTAATGACGTTATGCAAGCCTCTCATAGTGCGCTCAAAGAACCCTTTTTCGTGGGGGAACTACTTTTCAGTGGCGCCCCAACTTCTTCGCAGATATAATATATACATTAAAAACTTCTCAAGCAAAGCATCACCTACGTTACCATTTGTTGTTAGCATTGTCATCATCATCATTAGTTATCGTTATCTCTCTATGGTTTCCCTCGTGTTCATTTTGTCACCCCTAAATATCTGTGTCTCAATGCCATTGCTTCCTATTCATGTTGTTATAGCGTTGATTTTTACCGATAACTTTAGTCAGTGAGTCGTCTCTTATACCTTGGCAATAATCGTGGACTCTGTGCACCTTTTACAGCAGAACTTTATTGCATCGGCCTTCGCCGCTTTCTCCGTCCTTGCCAGTGATCTTGCTTTTGGTCTTCTGTGGTACGTCGTCATAGTAGATAGGTTATCTTCTCAAGATTAATAAATAAACGATGTCATAGATAACTATTATGAAAATGGTGATTAGCAATCTAACAATAAAGTTGCTAGATGAGAATCGTTAATATACTATATAGAGCGTAAATTGCTGGCATATGGCCCGTGGCCGACGGTATCACCAGCGTCGCCCCGCGAGCGGAGCTGACCTTGTTAGCGATATCGAATGAATCGCACGAACTTCTGGTAGTTCATCTATCGAAACGATGAGTATTGAAATTAGACAAATATTCTACTTAATTTCTAAATCAAGGCCACATTAGGTTGGTACACACTTCCATAGATCGTATGCACCCAGAAAGTGTAGCGTCATCGCAGGCCATGCTATTGCATAGAAAAAAAAACCAATACCAGAAAGGAGCGTCCTGAATTATACCAGACAGAGTGAAGCTGAGCTTTAAATACCGGTCTGTGATAGTCGATTGGTTTTCGTAACTAGCACCTAACGAAACCATTCGTCCAACGTCCAACTTTCAGGCAAATAGCTTTGTAAAAATTGCCTCCAAAAAGCCACTGGGCCAAGATCAGAAAAACAAAATGCCTACGCTGATTTTTTTCGTATAGGAAACATTGGAGAAGAACTAACGCACGCAATTAGAAAAGTAAGGCGAACGGATGACTAATGCTGACGGCCGATACGTATAGCATTTGTCTTAAACAGATCAACACGTTAGCAATATACTTGAATTTGTACCTAGCCAAACTGGTGTTATTTTGTTTTTGTTTATCGCTTTCGTTACTATTATTATTATCGATTTTCATCAATTTGCGATGAATACACCGCCGTCTATGTGCCAACTAGACAACCCGAGTAGGCGATTGATTGTTCTGGTTTATGTCAATAATAGGTAATTTTTAATAATGTCTTTCGAGCTAGTAATCGACATGGGCATTATATATTTCAGTTCAGACCACTTATTACTCTTCAGACTATAGCAGGCGTTCCGCTGGTTCGTTCAGGCTGACACTACTCTAGATCACCGAGCCTCTACTCTGACTTTAGGCAAACCGGCTCAACTATGGGAGCTTTTGATTGTGATGAGAGCTGTCGTCAGTCTCGATCATCGTCCACGTCGCTAAACTCCACTTTAAACCATTACTTTCGACTGTCCGTGCGTGCGTGCGTGTGTCTGTATGCATGTATGTTTACGCTTCGCATCATACGCAGGATCTCTGAAGTCTCTGTTTGTACAATTGAAAAGTAAGAAAAAATCTTTCGCAGCTTACTTATTTTCCACACACTTGGGTTATTTTTCGTTTATTTTTTGATTATACAAATTTGCTGTATATTTGTTTACCTGATCATCGTGCAGGCTCAAAGGCCACTAATCGTGTTCCGTCCAGAGACCCGGGATCGTACTGTTGCTTTTAGCTTCAGTCAGTTTTGAGCACTGGATTTGATGAGTTGTTATTTTTTTGATTCTTTTAACTAATGGTGCGGTCCAGCACACACGGGTCCGGAAAATTCAAGTGTAAACTGTCGTATGTGATACCTACTGTTATTTGTCATGATTAAATGTTATGTTCAGGTGTTTGCCATTGTCGTATGGACTTTAAATAATCAGTATTTGAAACGATTTGACGCCGCTTATTAGAAATAATTACTTTGCTATTATTCGTATAGATAATAATTATAATATGTTTTCATAGCATTTAGGATTTGTCATCGGAACATGGAACAATAGACGTTTGTCTATCGGCGTTACTACTAAAGTGAATGGTCCTAGTGGGTATACGAAATAGCGCATTCGTGCTTTTCTCTATTCACAGCTCAACTCATTCGGTTTATCTACGTTCCGCACGCGTTTTTCTTTCGTTGTTTCCATCCGCCCACGTTAACCTCCTTCCTCCTTATGACAACATTGACTGCAGGTGTTTATCTCAGAAGCAATCGAGAATTAGATTAAGCCCTCCTTTTCTGTTGATTTTTTGCTTTTTTTTTTTTTTTTTTTTTAGTATCTCTAATGTACATGTTTATGTATTTCGAAAAATATTTACGCTTCGTCTGACACTTGCATGTATATCCCTGTACAGTTTCCTCTAGGGGACAGTGGCTTTCTGCAATCGCATCAGTTTTCCGCCATGTCTTTCATATGCCATTTCACGCTGTTTCAGAGCTACGCTACTAGCAAGCGGCGTTTAGATCAGAAATGATAATAATGATTATGCATTATATACCTATTTGTATTGTGTATTTATAGGTGCATGTCGTATGGGTAATACATACTACGTGAACATGTGGGTAAACGATACTCCTCCTAGCAATTGTCGTTGGGTGATTCATTCATTGTGATAATGTCTTCCTGCTTGCCTCTTATCTGTCTGTATGAATCATTGTATTATTGCTTATTGCATTGTATGATGAAGTTGAGCGTGCCGGTTCTACGATGCGCCCCCCCCCTCGGATACGTCCAATCTAGTCCGTCCCTAGACATCTGTCAGGCTGATTGAACTAAATAGAACTGTTTGGTCCGTCGAGACAAACGATTATATTTGACGCTAGCTGGAGACCTTACAAATGTATGAAAGCTTATCGCAACGGGCTCATTATGTTAATGCCAAACGCACAGACTCGTCCAGGATTTTCGATTTACGTAATTTCTCCTACGTTGAAACACTTTACATCCATATCGATTTTTTTAGGGTCACTCGATGCTCTACAACCGTGTCGTTAATTCGGCCATTGATCAACAGGGATCTGAGCCGTCGGCCAGCCACGATTCGAAAAATTCAGGCGAATTACACGCGCGGTGGTAGGCGGGTTAATTGACTGAAAAATAGTTCAAAGTAGGAAAATTAGCTTGAATAGCTTGAGAAGTATAAGCCTTCCTTACTTCTATATAAGTTATAAGGCCAAAATACTTAAATGAACCCATTTTCCCGCGTTGAATTTTTGTCTCTGAATCAATGGTCCAGATAGCGGACCCACTCTGGATGCCGGACTGGCAGTTATCGCCTTCCTATCATAGAGTGTTCTCTAGGTACTTGAGGCCATAGCGTACAAAGCCATTCATTTATTTCGAACGGCCTGTTTTACTATGGCGCTTCAATTTTGAAGAAGGTAGCTTTCAGCAAAATCGTATTATCCATCTTGAGAAAGAAAGAAAGAAAACGGTAAATATGCCTAGTTTGCTGGGCATTTCGTTTGCGAGAGCCACTAGCTTAGCTTGTGGCCCGTCGTGCAAGCGCAAGGAGCGTTGTTGCTCATAACAATGGCAACGTACTTCTGATACGCGTCTGGGCGAAATATGGATTCTCGGAATTGTCAGTTTTCTAATCTTCTTTTAGTTCGTTTCGAAACGTGATTCGCTGATATCTCCCAGTGCCGTCTGTGAAGAATGTTTACGAACGTAAGTTTAAACGGTTACAGTTCGATCTCTCTCGATAGTCTTTTAAAAACCTAATTATTGATATATTTTTTGTGAGTTCTCCCTTTGGCTCCAATAATCGTCCGGTGACGACGGGTCATTACAGGATACCGATGACCCTTAATATTGCGCACGGAACTATTACTTAATTACTGCTTTCGAGCATTTGCAAACATATTACATAAAAAGAATAAACAGGTATCTGTATTTAAAATAAAAATACAATATCACTCTATGAGAGAGAAGTCAGGGGTAAATTAAACGCGTACTTCCTGCATCGAATGCTGCACGCTACGGTCGCCGAATCGTAATCGAAATAAGCGAGCAGATATATGAATGATCGAAGAGTTCCGATTTTTCCCTTCAATATCCTTTCAAATATCATGACTTCAGCATTGTATATCTATTTAACATGTTTTTGATTGGGTGCGTTATTTTCGTAGCGTTAGGAATTATTGAAGAAACAACGAAGAATACCACATGATCATTATAGACACCCCTATATTATCAAACTATTCTAATTATTGCGACGACGCTACAAGTTTCGTCGCGTTCTACCGCTATGTTTTCCTTGCCGTTCTTCTATCTCCGAATCTATATTTCTCTCTTGATATATTTTGACGCTGTATATCGAAAACGATGAATAGGGCGGTAAAAAAAAAACGTTTTCGGCTGTATTTTCCTTGGAGTGTATGTGGGTATTTATATAGTGAGTATTATAACGTGCGCCCGCTAGAGTCATTGGGGGAGTGATACTGGCATCGAATAAGGTTCAAACAATTGAAAAGTCTATCGACGTTATAGCTGACGAAGGTAATCTATGTGTGTGCATCTTTTCCAGAGCCAACTTATGGATGTTAGAATAACTTATGGTCGCAATAGTGCTAACCATGCGCTTGTAACAGTTGTACAACCACTACTAATATTGTAGCAACTGTATTAACACAGCAGTAATTATATTTCATCGAAATCGAGGCATTTTCGTTTTCGTCTTTCTTCAGGAATTAACAAATATATCAGAAGTCCATTGTGTTGCGGCGAACGATTCTCAAGAGAACCATTCTATTTCTCTTTGTTTAACTGGACTCCTGTTGCCAAGCTTTTAGCAGTTCGTACGTCCGCCGCCTCCAGGCGGTCAACCAGGCTCGAGTAAAGGGACAAATAGCTATAGATATGAGTATTAGTTTCAGTACTATGTGACCAACATCTCGTCTTCATTCCCTCTCTTGTTTTCTGTTCAGTGATGTTGTATATGTACGTATGTACGAACAGGCCCATTGCGAATAAAACCATCCGGCCATCATCGGGATACACGTCTCGTGGCACGAGAAATGTGGAAGCGATTTACATACGTTACGTGATACACGTAATTATTACTTGTAGCGTATAATAGCACATGCACGACAGATCTGCGCTCTCCGAGTCGTTCTGTTCACGTATGAATTGCTTATTGGCGTTGATTTCTTGTTTTCTGATCCTCTTTCCTGTTCTACTGACGGGATTCTTTGCTTGCTGCCCCGGAGTCTAAGACAGTATTTGGTTCAGACATGTCGCATTGTTTCAATAGTTCCAGCTCATGTATTCGGCGCCTAAGGTTCATCATCGTGATTTAGTATGAATCTTACTGCTTCAAAGCAATAACTGTAAAGCAGCTACAAGCTCGAAACAAAGCGGTTTTATCCATTCTTGTCGATCCTCGACAATCCAACATTAACGATAAACGGTCCATCTCCCGAACTACGTACCTCGTGTAAAAGGATAATGTGTCCATATCTGATTTTGTTTTTCTTCTTCGTGATTTTTTTTTTCATTGCGGTGAGGAATTAGATGTGAAGTGTTACATATGCGTACAGACAAAACTGGGTATGCCTGTGCAAGCTTCGTTAGCACCCACTGTAAACCTAGTCTGGACCTATTCTGTTTAGCTGCTTAGGACGATGCGCGCTTAAAGGAGACATTTTATGACAGAGTTATTCTCTAGCTTTCGTGCACTCAATAACAAAGTGTACTTGGACAGCGAACATCTTAACGCAGCTCAATGTGGACCACAGCTGGAAAGCAGATGCCCGATACTGGCTAGTTCAAAAGCGAGTAATTTTCTTTCAACGAACGCAGGCGACAAAAATGATCATCAATATTAATTTTACTGTTATCTTTTTTCTTTCAATTATGTGCTGTCGGAAGCCTCTGTTCAGAACCCGGTCGGGTAAAACTGCAATGCTGCATCGGATCGATCTTGGATCTTATGTACGTCAACTATAATGTATGTTTATCATTTCTTAAATTCGTGTACGCGTCTACGGGCATTTTACGGTTTTTGTAGAGTAGTGAATATAAGCTATAACTATAGCGAGAAATTGTTCGTGATGACAATGATCAGTCGAACGACTTTGTCGCCATATTTTGTGAGTTATAACAGTCTTTTATGGTCTTGAAAACTGTGCTCGTGGTACTACGGTGGATTTTACAATTAGCAGTTGTGTATTGCCGTTTCTCTTACGATGAGACGCCCATTTTAAAATATCTGTCTTAATAGTACAGGTGATCAGTGTTGTGTTTTTACTTAGTGTAGGGGAAGTAGTACATCGATTGTTGGAGATCGAAGGTCCAGGAGGAAGCCCGAAGCTCGATCATCTCTAGGATGCTTTTGCGCATCTGCTGGTTATTAGCTGAAATCGGGCCAAGGAACGACTCACGCATCTGCACGACCAGATTGTTCATCCTGAAAGGTAGATTATTACAGAAACGTAGAAATAGCATACCGCAATGAATTAGCCTCTGTAGGCTTGAGTGTTTGCGTACGGAGGTTGTGAAAAATGGCCGAATACACGGATATTTAAGATTTGCCGGTAGTCACCTCAGATATCGGTTGCGTGTTTACTTAGCATAATCTAAACCAGTCAAAATGTTCGACTGTAGATTGCCAAATCAGTTAACCTGCTACAGCCTCCTGTTTTTTAAGCGCGTATAGTGTCAATAATTTTCTTCTAAAGACGTTATGAATAGAAAATAATGTGAAACTGATAGTTTTCCATAGGAGGCTAGTCCGTCTTTAAAAGTAGTAATCTTTTTCAAGGTCGTATCTAAATTCTTATTCTTCTGTCACTGATTGTTCCTCGACGATCAGCACATACTTTGAGCGAATAAACTCGTCTAAAATAATGAAATGTTGCATCTTGATAATATTTTAGTGATCTAACAACATTATAGAATATTTCCTACTGCCACTGGCTCGAAGAAAAATATCTGAAAGTAAAAAAAAAAAAGGTGAATACAAGATCTGAAACCTTAATGGTCTCCTTATATTATTGGTATCAAACACTGGTTCTCCGTAGAAGTCTAGTAAAATCTTACGTGTGCCTTATGAGGCCCATAGTTTGGTATGTGTCAAAAGGCACTCAACTATTTGTACCTTCAAACAGCTTGGGCAGAAGCAAAGACAAACCACTCATGTGGTATTAGAACATTTTTACGAGACGTAGGCCCGTATAGTTTCTGAGGAAGAGGCTTCTGCTTATCGCGTACACCATTAGCATGTATCTGCAAGCAATTCGTAGCAGAATTTTGTGTTCTGAATTTTCTGCAGATACAGCGCAACAGAACACTACAGAGGACTACTTTAGGCACAGTCGATAGATGGATGAGATTAAAGCGATAACGAGTAACAAACCACTTGATCCTTCTCACTCACATCATCTAACGGCTTTCAATTATAATTACTATTTATTGCCAATGTAGTTAATATAAGAAAAGCAAACTAGGTTACTGTATACCGGAACTACTATTGATGATTATTGACAGAATAATATTGATGGGCATTGACAGATTGATAATTTTTCGATTCGTCGAATGCCGACTCGAGCCGCTGAGATACATGGCAATCGCTGCTTAGCTGAGGCCACTCAAAGCTCACGGGACTCATTTTTCTCTCCGTGGCCTGCCCACGACGCAGCTCTCATTAACCTAGCTTCTTCAGTTTCATATACGTAATGCCTTATTAGGCCATTAATTTTATTCGCCAGGTTCTGAAAACCAAATTAGCGACATCTAGTATAGATTTCGATGCGTCCAGCCCGAATGATAGCAGCTGTTTAGCGAATCGCTCTGTACTGTTCGACGCGATCTGTCATGCTTAGGTAGATCCTACGGATTCAGAGGAGCGAGTTACGCCCAATAGTATTTCGGGATGGTGCCACATCAGATGGATATCTACGGCTCTACTAGGCTTTATCGATTCTATCATCTAGTCCTGCGATGCTTGAATGAATTCGTTTCAATTCTCGATCTAATATTTACTTCCAGATATTTGAGAGAAAAACGAAGCTCCTTTGTGTGCCTGCAGCGTTGGATAGTGTCCTGACGAACAAATGACTTAAACATTCTTGTCAAAAATAGGAAACCGAGTCTCCACGAGAGTTCTACTATTTAGTTGACTTTTGGGCATTATATCGGCAAGTTGACTCGTTCCCGTAGACGTAAAATATCCTGAATTGAGTTAGAGATTTACGTACCTAAGCGGAGCGTCAGTGTCGATTTGTTTTCCGACAACAGATAATACGGTGCGAAGACATTCGAGCTCGGTGGGATTCTTGAGGGAGGCCGGTTTCAACAGCAGTTCAAGGCAGTCGTACAGGAGCGTGCACAGCGTCACCGCCCTGCAACGTAAGAGATCACATGATGATGACCAAGGCCGCATTCGAAGGCAGCGGCAAGGGTACTGCTTTCTAACGTCGCAGAAAAACACAGTATACTAAGGGAATTTCGCGGCAGTACGAAGCCTAGGACCTCACACTACATCATTGCAAAAAGTATCTATTGAAAGAAATTGTATTGTTTTCGTTCTTGCCGTTCACGTCTAGCGGCTGTAATTATCCAAGATAATTGTACACGAAACATACTGTATACACACACGTACAAATACTTTATTTCGTTCTACTATATCGTTCAGGTCGGCTCAAAACGAAACTTTGATCACTCGGTCCAAATTTATATGAGAAAAGTTGTTATATCTCTGTGAACTAAATGAGATACTAATGGTTAAACTCAGTGATTTTTGCTTTCTACAGCGCGATGTATTATTTACTCAAAGTTATCCAAGTAGACCTTTATCGACTAGTCTCTAATTATCGAATAATTGAGCTCTTTTAATGAACGTTTTCTTTGAGTTCCCGTTTTCACATATTCTGCTGGGCCTTCCCTTAATAAGGTCTTCAATAAACATAAAAATACCACCACCAGCTGGCTATCTGTATCTCTGTCGTCTCTCTTGAATTCGAGTGAGCCACTAGCAATATTTGTCCGCACCATTTCGTCTATCACCAGTTGGTCGAGTGGCAGAAAATGGAAATCCCCCTATCAGTGATGCCCTAGCTTCTACACACAGATTGGGGACCCTCTGTGTGCACACGGCGATCCAAATTATCGGACGATAATCATGTTGATGACGGGCGCACATCTAATTCTTCTAGCTCATTTGGTTGCGGCTCATGTTTATGTCTCCTCTAACGTTACCTGCCTGTTTCCGCAATTTTTCACTGCCTTTCACTATAGTTCGGAGCAGTGTGTTTGATCCATGTTTTTTGTCTATCCTATTTTTTCTTACCCATGCAATGAGGTGCCCGGAGGATCTTCATTTTGAGAACAGATCTGGGAGTAAACAGCCAGTCGGCTGACCACCTTGTCGCATTAGAAGAGCAATTTAGCAGGTACAGACCATTGCTGTTAATCTGGATGCAAGGTGATACCTAACCTGGCCGACATGGGGTCAACGGTGCCCTGTTTTCTTCGCCTCAAACACTGAGCGACACCGATAGTCAACGCTGCTTAATGACTGGAATGGCAGTTGAGGCCGGAAAGGAAAGCGATCTGCCACTGAGCTGAAAATTAGCTAAATTTGGCCTTTTGCCAGTGCCGAGAGGCGCCCGTTAACTCATTCCCTTCACCAACCTTTTTATAACACACACTGCTGTCACTGGCGTTTGCTTTGTATCCTGCGTAGCTTCCTACTAAAAAAAGGCCAATGCAGATAAAATAGCGGCAAAGACGGCAGTCGTTTGATAAAGAAGAACAGGCCTTTGTCTTCTTCCTTACTGCTTCCTCCACGCCCAGCACTGAACCTAATTGGTGTAAAGGTGTTCGTTTTCTCACTTTCTTTTGCTGTTCCAAGCCTTTAACTGCACACAGACAATAGCGTAGGACTAACCATACAGAAAAGCGATAAAACCTCGTATGTAGCAACTGTTAACGACCACATACACCTAATTGTTTCTAAGCGGTGGTCAAGGTTATGAACTTTAACTGAACAACAATTGGTACTGAAGAAGTAAACAGTAGGACACAGGTTAACCAATGACCTTGGGGTGATGAGTCGTTGCGGCCTGAGGCGATAGTAAAGTTCGGCGACGAACGTCACGTAAGCTGTCCATCGCTTTGACACGGCGGAGCCTTCCTGTGGAGACCTCAGGAGCTTGTCCCTCTCGGTATACCATTCACGGCAGCTGTTCAACAAGCTCTCTAAGAACGTGTCACCCTTCTCTTTCTATAACCAGCACAAACACAAAGGTAGATTCGTTTTTAGATCACGCAAGACTATTAACAATAACAACATGTCACATAAACAATTACCATCCTCTTTGTTTTTGGTAACAACATCGCGAAGATGCTATTGTAATCAGAATATACATAGGTAAGAAAAACTCCGCAAAGAGACCAAAGTAATAGTGATGACGTCATCTAGTAACGTTAACAGTGCCATTAGGCCATATAGATACGAGATAAGTTGATAAGTTCAAGAGCAGAAAGTTTCATTTCTAATAAAAAAAAAAAAGACAAGGTAGGATTTTTGTTTTTCAGTATTCTATAACATATTCGCGGTGCGCAAATGTTTCTCTTCGCAGAAGCATTACACACGGATATATGCACGTGTCTTCGTAAAATTTCGGGTGCAACAAGACGTATCTATCAAACAACAACAAGTTGACAAGTGTGAAATTCAGACGTCGAATATCAAAGAAGCCTTGTTGCTTTGTAACGTTAGCGGTAGCTTCGTGCTGGTTGTAGTAATAGTAATACTGGTGCTGTTGAGCTAACATGGCTGTAACTTTTCCTCTAGGCACACTGCAACAAAGTTACACGCCGCGTTCCCCATTCCGTCCCGCGCGTTAAGTACTGAAGTCTCGTTTTCTATGATAGTTTTAATAGTGATACTTTATAATATCTCTCGGATAAGGTCTCTACACGCATGCCTGCAGGCGCGTTAGCCTGCCCAGCTTCAAAAGCAAGTCGGCCAAGAGCATAGCATCAACATGCTTTTCCAAGGCGGCTAGAGGAGCCGTGCCCCGAGTCCAATTTCAGGAATGGCTGCTACGAGGCATACGGCCAGCAGAAATACGGAAATGTAAGAATTCGGTGTAAGACGTCACGCTAGGCAACCTATTATAATAAGCTTCCTCTGAGCCTTCGTTCTCCAACAGGAAGCGAGGCAACGGCACGCGCGTACAGAAAGGTAGTGGTTACATGCGATAGTTGTCATCGCTGTTGCAGTAAAAGTACGAGAGCGAGAGAGTGGGTCACAGATCGCGTGATCTTCACTTGCGATATAGAGCATAAACGTACAGCGTACTTCAGTGGAGAATTGCATGGAAAGAACTACTGACCTCGATTATAGAAAGGCAAAGCTGAGCGGAGGGCCCCGCGTGCTGGATTCCCTCAGTCGCCTTACTGCAGATCGTCCGTACAACCTCCATGATTTGCATGATGTTTAGAAGGTTTGGGTCTGAAAACGTCATCATACATAAATAAAAACGGTTACTGTATAGTAGTTAACTACGGCAATTTCTTTTTGCTCAAGTTCGCTTAGTCGATCTGAGATAATAAGTCCGACGACAGAAGGGTAAAACTCCCGATGGGGTATCACTCGGCAACTGGTATCACGATTTATGCTGATCAGCTAGTGTAGAGGTTATCAAGTACGCTAATTCCGGTGATCTTCAACTTAACACTCGAGACATTGCTGTCACAAATGCAGATCCTAGATAGGTATGGTAAGTTTTAAGGGATCTGCAAGATACTCTTGGATACCTGAATATTACACGCTGGCATCGGTTGTGTCAGCATTTCTACTTTTTTTTTTTAGTAGAAAGGACAAAACGGACACTAGTTTGATAGTACGTACTAATTTGAACATCATACTTTTAAGTAGTAGCTTTCAAACTATGCAGTCGTTATGTAGTACGTAATATGTGCATATATTCAAGCGGAATGATACCAAACGTACATGTTAGCTTTAATGCATATCTATCCATCATACGCTCGTTTCTAGGCTGAATATTCTACAGAACTCAGTGTTGCACCGTTCTAGGATAGCAAATCATAGCTGATACGCCCGCGCAAGATCCTGAAAGATATGCCGTTTTTCAAATATATAGAAAAATCTACCATTACGGCTACGTAACCTGAACACTACAGCAAAATGTCAGGAGGTAGCAGCCGTTGCAACAGATCAAGAGGTAAACTAAGCAAGTTCTGTAGCGCAATTTTTCTTAAACTATTTCGTTACAAAGTGCCTCGCGGTCTACACTGTCGTTGAGTCAATCCAACTAACAAGGCACGGTTGAAAAAAGTACAATTGTAGCATAACATTAGGGATGGTATGGTTTCACTTTGTCTCCATGAGTCCACTTTAGTTATGGCTATCATAAAGAATCCTCGATCATGAAGCTTGTGGCCAGATCCTTAGTGTGCCCCGTCCCATTTCGTCGTATACGCGAATACATATGACAGTGTATAGTTCTGCATATACCAAGTCGTTCATGTATAAAACGTGATATACGTAATTCCAACTCTTTGAACTTTTTTTTATATATTTTGCTTTTTCTCATTTTCAGTCGAAGTATGCACCATTATTATTTATGGCCTTCTGCCTTTTGGAGGATGACTATTTGTCCCAGTGACTTAAATGTCTAAAGTACAAGAATCTTTGAGGTTTTAAAAAACGATTCCGATATCATTCTGAGATGTTTATAATTTTTTCTATTAGGAACTTTTCCAGATTTAAAAAATGGTAATCTGTTAGAACAGGGTCAGGCAAGTTTTTTGAAGTGTGAACTTGAACTTTGTCCTGCAATAATACCTCTGTTCATTCATTTTGGATACTTAACGCGGACTTTTTTCATCGACTGCTTTAAGCGTAGACGGTATACTTCGGTATAGTTACAATCGACGAAGCAGGACTTATGAAGCTATAGTGAATAGCATTGCATTAGACTACCGAGACACTATACACCTCAGCAGCTATACAGGGTGCTTCAGGGTGATACCCCGCTTGTTTAGTTGTAAAAGATCAGCTTTCCATCATAAGTAATGATTCATGGATTGCAGGAATAGGGCATCGTCGTAACGCGGAAGCAAGGAGAAGCAAGCGCTTCCAGGTATATCTTTTAATTCTTTTTCAAACTGTAGCATATATTTTTCTTGCTAGTTTGGCTTATATGAACAAGTGTAATATTTCAACGCAGACCAAAGCTAAATAATGACAACCGTACTCGTTGAGATGGATTAACTTTTACCGTAGCCCTTAGCTTTTCATTGTTGACACTCGCAGGAGATCTTCCACAAGACTCTCTTTCGAGGTCGATATTGTTTTCAACCAACGAGTCACGGTGTTTTTCGTAGTCGAACTTCCGCATCAAATGCAAGATTTGTCGGGCCAGCTCTCTCCGTCGTTGTCGTTTCATATCGGTAAACCACTTATATCCTAGGATTGATTCTCCATGGTTCACTACAACTCGCCTGCCCAAAGCCCGAGTGACGATGTCCGAATAAACCGAGATTCAAAGAGTGCATCCCGAATGCAAAAAAAAAAAAAAAAAAGATGTGCACCATTGCAAAGTAGCGCAATTTTCATAGATGTCACATTAACGTTTGTCACGTTTCCATATAATCCAACGATGGTAACGGAACCCGTGGCGACTGTAAATCGGCCGCCCTGACTTTTACCAAATAACATATGAAATATGAACTCAGCTATAGAGCACACGGCAAATAACATTGACGGTCACAGCCTCAGTGCGTAAATGACATTAATCAATATGTCATGACACACACAGTGTCATTCGTAAATATGAAAAAAAAAAAAAATTAATAGCTACGCTTCGGCCCCTCGCAGAAGAACGCCTGCGAGGGCGTTCAGGGTTGGGTCATTTGGCCTTTGTGGGTAGATAACCTGATTTGTTTACGAATCGTATTCAGTTTGTCAGTTTTTGTTTGGTTTGATCGTGCACTAACCGTTGAGCGCTTTCTTGACAAGAGGGTCGTTGAGCGCGGCGCTTGAGTGTCCGTTTTCGTCCTGTGCCTGGATGGCCTGGCTAAGCTGTTGCTGCAGTTGCGTCTGTTGCTGTTGTAGCTGTTGAGCGGCAGATCCCTGTGAGCCGCCATGATGGTTCGAATGGCTGTTGCCCCCGCCGCTCCCTCCGCAACTGCCACCGCCGCCGCCGTAGTGGCCTCCGCCGTGGCTACCGCTGCTGCTACTGCTGCCATTCTGGCTGCTCTGAGCTGCAAAGCTCTTCGACCTCTTTAGAGAGTTAGCGCTCCCGCCGCTCTTTGAAGGGGAGAAGTGCACCGTCTTACCGGTCGACCCGCTATGGCCGTTGTGCGAGTTGTGTGAACCGTGCGAGTTATGGGCAGTTACAGTGGGCGCGCCAACCGTTACCGCTCCAACGGCGACCGACGCTCCGTGGGGGGAGGGGTAGTGGCCACCCGTCGTGGCCACCCCATGATGAATATGGCTGCCTTGATCACCTCCACCACCACCACCACCCCCGGCCCCCCCGCTCGCTGAAACAGCAGCAACTGCGACAGGTTAGCTTGTTAGTTTAATTTACTTTAATACTGTAATCATTATCCAACATACACAAACACGAATGTAAGCATGCAACTTTACCTAGAACGACCGTTACGGGCAAACTAGCTCTGTAGTGCTTAAGTTAGGTGCCTTTAAAAAAAAAAGCTGAACAGCTGGAATGGGTAAGTATGTGCAGCTCGTTTGCAGCGTTCGCAGTTGCGTGCAGCAACGTACGACCGCAGTGTCCTAGATGGAATAAATTATGGCTTCTAGCGCCGCGTGGAGCTCCTAACCTGAGTTTGGTACTGTACTCTCTGGTAGACAATGATAATTATATCACATATTCGCAGTTATCGTAAACTTCTAAAAAAACTAAGGCTATACAATATCCGTTGATTTGTCAGTTAAAGTATTTAAAAATACATTTGCTAAGTCTTGCCCGACTACCTCTTACGCAAACACCGTTTAATAACTGCTGCGTTAATTGCAGCTCATGTGAAGCTACTAGGATATACGCGCACTTTCCTATACAGGCGCCCTTGAAAGAGATAACTGAAGAGCTGTCGACGTAAATCGGGATATTCCAATGTTTTGACGTTAATCACTTCACGCCTTACAATCTGTATACGACCACAAAGGCCCCTGTATAGTTTTGCAAATATAAGGTCAGCTGATACAAGCTGTATGCGGACTCTGCCCAATGTTGTGTTGATAACACTGTTGCATAAAGCAGCTATAACGTCCAGAAAAATAAGCTCTGTTTATACGAGTTATGGCCGCCAGTAGAAACAACTATCCATCGTATTTTCCTAGTTCTCTTGTTGGGCTTGCCCTTTTTTACATTTGCTTCTGCTCACTAACGCTATGCACAACTCACGGTGCCTGTCTTTATTCGGAGCGTTGGGATACACTAAAATGAAGACAAAATTTCGATTAGAATTCGCTTGAAGAGACTCAGCTAGCATTTTCCCTTCTCTTGCTCGCAGACTTCGTCAGAGGCAGGAATACCAAATATACCAGTACGGCTTGCAGCACGTGCACTGGTTTTCTTCCTCCTGCTGGTGCTTCATGTAGTGTTGAACGCGGTCACATAAGTAATAACGTTGACTAATGTTTGCCAACAAACGGAAGGTATACAATGATCCGTGAGGAAACAGATAAGATGGGGATCACTTTTGTGGTGGTCGCAATTTAAATTCGATAAGGTCTTCTACAGTCGAAAACCACATCATAAAAGATTCGACACTTCAGTATGTTCAGTGACTCTCTCGCTGGGTAACACGGGTACGCTCGAGTTTGACATGGCATACTGAGCGAATAGTAGTAAGACTAGCAGCAGATGTCCCAAAATGGGCATATGTATACAGATGAAAATTAAAAGAGAATAGATTGAAGCCATATCAGCTCGGAATACAGTTATTGTGTATGATCCTCTAAAAGTAGCTATTAGAGAAGATCCATTGAAATTTCTCTGCTTGGGTAAGGAAGCACCCACAAAACTCCACTCAAGCCATGTAAGTATCGGAAAAATACTAACGGTCACTGTCTCGTTATTTTGGTAGACCATTAGCTCATGTTTCAGAGTTTCTCAATGTTAGTTTCAATCAGCTAACGAACTCAATTAATAATCATACTGTTTTGTTTGAAGACAAAACAGATTTTAGAAAAAGGGCAAATGAAGGTTCATATAGAGCGCTCGAGTAGACACAAAAAACAATACTTGATTGATAATGGTCGTACAATAAAACCGTACAAGTGTTACTTCTTTTTTAAGCAAACAATTTTGGCAAACCTAATGGGATGGAAAGTTTCATTCAGCATTATGAGAGCGTTATTTAGTAAAAGGTGGCGGATAAAGACCCTCGAACGCAGAGCGTTGTCAGTCTTTGCAAGCGAGCAACTTCAGTCAGAGATCGTGTTCTGATAGGTTGTATTTGAGAATAGTGGAACTGAATTGCTGCTGCTAAGCCCCCCTCATAGCTATGAACGTGGCCGTTACAGGCTTGGATAACTAACGGAGACGGTACAGGTCCCAAGAGTGCAGTTAAAACGGGCTTAGAATAGAACTACACGACAAAGCGGCAGACTTGTAATAATGCAAGCGGACTCTATATCGTTTCCCGTTCAATTACGTTCTACTGTGTTTGCTGTTACTAGTACCGCTGCTAATATGAGAAGCGAATAATTAAGCTAGCTCGCCCATAAATGCCAACAAACAGCGACGTTCGATATGGTCTAGATCGAATGCTTCGTAAAAAAAAAAGGCAAGCTTGAGTTAACGAAAGAAACCTAAGGAGCAATTACACATTATGCCGTCTGTAAGTATGCGTGTTGAGGGTAAGGTCCAACTACCACAAGCCGCGTGCCTCAGAGATGGAGCTCAAGTTCGTTTATAATACTTTACTCGGACGTATGAAGTCGTATGAACTTTTTTACCATGTACGCTAGAACTAACTCTACATAAAAGTATCATAAGTAACTTCCGCCTGAAACCTACCACCTGCGGATGTCGTGCTGAGCCTGATCATTAATCTATTTTCGATGATAAAAGGGCCTCATGAGTAATCAGACTTTCTTAAGACCCTTAGTATGTGGGAAATCTTATTCCACATCTAATATTTATCACTATCATTCTTGCTATTATTGGCCGCTTGGAGTGTATATCAAGAGCATATGTGGTGTTGCATCCTTATGCACCACATGGCGCACTCTGTCACGTTATCTTTACTAACCATATATTAGAAATGAACACATTTCAAACAGTTAGTTGTACGTCGTCTGTATATGCTACAAGGAAGTTATCCTTTAAGATCGCTGGCTTCAGACTCTGTTCACACTTATATTGGAACTATTGTCCAGTTTCAGGGTACGAAATGGCTTTAGATGTTTACCCAAACAGCGTAAAAACGAATGATAATTTCATTATCACTTTCGTTTTGGATCATACTACGATCCACAACAACAAAATCCCAGACTTTCACAGTACTATCAATCGTCATAGGATAAATTTTCGATATATTTTAACCTTTGGTCGACAATGAACGGACATAGTTGTCTGACAGGTTGATTTCTAAAGGGGAGGAAGAAGAACGCCAGACATAGACAGCACGAACCGCCGACATACATGCACGTAAGCCGCCAAAAAGCTGACGATGATGACTACTACCGCTGGATGAGTCCGAGGCGGTTGTAAGTATAATCAGATGCTATACTGCTAGCAAAAAATAAGTCGGTATCGGCGATACAATTGGCTGTCGTTACCTTCGAAGAAGTGAGATTGCACTAAAAAAGCCCATGAGTGGTCAATGCCTTTGCTCAATCTCACCTTTACTACAGAAGCTGAACTTACGCTTGCTTTGTAAGAATAAGAGCCGCAACAACAACTAAGTACTTACTTTCGAATATGATATATAATAATTTCGGTTATTCTATCCATGTGTGTATTTTTTGATATGGAAACATTTTACCTATTCTGAAAATATGATAACGACAGGTGTGTTTACGACTGATGGTGGATAGGTGAACACAAATCCTGTAGATGAGTCCAGTGCCCGGGGACAATTTTTGTTTGCTAGAACAGCAAATAGCAAAAAAACTTTAACAAACGATATTGATTAAGACGTTGTGTCTCCAAGTAACTGCACGAACGGATGCAGCCTTGTAGATTTTTTCCCTACGAAGCAGAAAGTCAGAGCCTCTAGCTGTTGCTCGAAACACTGAAACAACTTATGCACCTTGATTTCTGTGTTGGCTAGATATCTTATGCCTTTTTGAGGTACTCATGAAAAGTACATGCATTATCATGCTGCAAACAAATTTAACTAAATAAATATACAAAAAAAAAAACTCCGTCTGTTCGGAGCGGCTTGCACCAGACTTATTTAAACAGTAAGTCTTGAAATAACATAGAGACGATGAAGTATGCAATCATGAATATTAGGCTCAAACGCTTAAGGTTACACCCAAGGTCGAGCTACAGGCGCGGCCAGGAACGGAACCTGTCATTTGCCTTGCCTCGTCGGGCAAGAGCAAACTGTTGCTTTCTAGTAATCGTAGCATCTCAACGATTACAAACAGCCAAAAAAAGTAAAGAAGCATTGAGTGGAGAACTGTCCAGGCTGTAGTATTTTCGTTTTCTGCTGAGCACTTTGGCGTCAGGGGAATAACTACAGCCTATGGGCTGATGCTTTGCTGGGAAGTAGAGCTAAGTTGGGGCATTGTTTTGTCTGCGTGTACCATGTCACGCCCGAAAAAACTGACACTCTGACTGGTTATGTTCCACCACTAGTCAGAGTATACGCTTCGCCAGAGATCTCCTCTAGTCAGCCAGCCTCTTTTCCTTTTCACGCGATATTGAATTGAGCAATTTTTCTTTTGCGTCATAACCCTTCACATCCGATTCCCGCATGCATCCCTGTCGTCCTATAGTGCCACCACTTTCTGCGTGTCTCTTCCAAAAGCGGATCGATAGGTTTAAAGGGGCCGCTGACCAAACGTGCCCTTGTAAGCAAACATACACACCACTCTGGCCATAATTAATGGCCTGCTGTGTCTCACTTCAAATTGGAGAAGCCCTTCGTATAGCTGAGGTGCGGAACGCTTATTTGGTTCAAAAATCATTCTAAACGTGTCTCGTGTTAGGGTATCTTCTTGCGAACACATAAGTTAGACCATTTGAGATTCTTACGTAGAGGTCATTGGAATTATAACGGGATAGGAAAGTAAGTTCTCATGTAAAAAAGTACGGACAGATAGAATAGGCATGAATCCTTGTACAATGGAAAAAGGGAGCAATATAAAACGCACGAAAATAGATAGAACGGACGGGTTGTCAACTCCGCAATATGCAACCCCACCTAGGGAAACGCACTTTTGACAAAAATAGCGTCAGAATCTAACCTCAGCAGTCCCTCATAGGTCAGTAACTACGCAGAAGTAAACTCAGATCGCGCTCGCGTACTGAACAAATTTCAAAAGAGCGGTACGACTACATGAAGAAGCAGACGCCAATAGCAGGACTCGTTAAGCCCTTATACACAACAGCTAAACCACTACTTATCCAGAATAAGAGCACATAACAACACGTTCTCCATTGCAAATGACATTTTTTACTTTCTAGATGTACCACTGTGAACGGTGACCGAATACCTGCTTTGTGCTTGAATTCTCAGGCGTGACTGTTGGTCAGAATGCATTAAGCGTATGCAATTGCCACTGCCACAATCTCTCTTGTTTTTGGGGTCGTTTCGTGACATTTTTGCGCAGCGAAAGACAGCTACACAGTTTTTGCTGTGAGGCACATTTTATTGGGCTTGGTACGCTTGGAACAGCCGTACAAATTTGACAATATTATATAAGAACGTATGAATCAGACACAGCTATTGATGTTTCCAATAATCATTGCGGACCGTTGGAAGCAAATTGGCGCGCTTTCGAAAAGGATGAGCTCCACAATAACCTGCTCAATCGGTAACGCAGTTACTGACATGTGGCTATCCTATGCACCACCAGCTGGGCATCCATAGTGGCCTGATAGTCCTGAGAGAGATTCCTTGGGCCTGCTCGAATTTAGATACATATATATAGGCATACAAGCAGACCGTAGTAGGTAAACTGTAAAAGGTGGCGCAAAGCTTGAACTAAATTACGCACAAATTGAATGGTTTTCCTGCTCGCATTTTAGAAAATAAACTAACTGAACGCTTGCAGCATGTTAAAACTAAATTGGGCCAGCTCCGTGTTAAATAAATAAATAGATAAATAAATAGATTTAAGCACCATGAGAGGAAACGAAAGAGTTATAAAAGAAGATACTAAGCAAGATGATGTTACTGAACCGGGCTGCAATCAAAACACATTGTGCAATGTTCACTGAAAAAGGTGATCATTCTATGAACGCGTAGGGTAGCGGCGAAGGCACCTAGCCATCGCCATTTAACTCCGAAGCTGCCGGCAAGGTCAAAATTGACCAGTGGCCTGATCCTGCGAAGCTTTCGTTGCCACCCGATATTTCTGGGACAATCAATTATTTTGGATTAAAGATATTAAAATCAGCATGCTATGATAGATGGGTTAAATCCTTCACGCTAGGACTAGCTAAGTAGTTTGAAAGTAAACCTTCCAACAATTGTAGTAATAAAATTTTACTTTTCGAATAAGATTTCTAGGAAGTCTGTGTGCGTGCATGCGTGCGTGCGTGCGTGCGTGCGTGGCTGTGCACTCGGTCATGCATTTTGGATGGCAAAAGAAAAAGAAGAAGAATATGACAAAACAAACAAGAATCACTTGAATGATCTCAGCGGAGTAGCAATGGTAATGGCATCTGCTGAAACCTAGGTTTTTATTATTACTAACTACAACACCGTTGCATCTATCTGTAGTATTCAGTTCCAGGCATATAAGGTATGTGCATGCTTTTGTTCCTTAGCTGTAATGGCAAAAAAAAAAGACACGAGCCGTCGTCCTAAACACTGGGTGTCGCTATTCTACGGGAAAGTTAAAGCCAATGGGCAAATGAGGCCACCAGTTTACGTAACCTATAATTGCAGATTTATGTCTGCTTTCCAAGTATCCATGCTTTCTGCGGGTTCGTAAGAAATGGTAGGCTATTGAAGGACACTTGCGGAATGCTGCTTAAAAGTAACATTAGAAGAAGCAAATGTTTCGCAAAAATTAGGACTGTCTTATTATTAGGGCTATTAGGAACGCGGCTACTTAGGTCAGTGTGACCTACTTATTCAGGTAGCTCAATATGAATCTCTGAGGTTTTATATACAGCGAAGCATCGATATATCCTACCTAGTTCCTCTAGATAAAATCGTTTCGTCTTTTTTTTTTATAATTTTATAAATTCGTCAAATATATACTACAATAATAATAATTACTATTAAGCAGTGAATAAAAGTGGCACTTAGTAACGTAATTCATCGGATATAGTATAGAATTTTTTCTGCTACTGAAAAATCTAATTGGCCGAAAAAGAAAACAAGTGACTAGTAGATTTATTAGTGTATTTATTAAAGGTTAAAAATAGTTAGTACCTTGGTCAGCGAGATACGCAGTAACGGCATCCACGTACGATTGGGTTAAAGTGGCCGCGGCTGCCTGCGGAAGAATCTTGCTGATATTCGACGCGTCTAGCCGAACGCCTGTGACGCAATTGAATTCAATCATCATACCGCCATCACCAAGTACACCAATAGGATGACGGTGTCACAAAAATCACACATTAAGGATAAACAATAGTTAATCAATGAATTGTTAGCCGTTATGATTCGTTCGAATCCTTATATTTAAACTCAACCACCTGCGGCTTATTATATAATGAAGACCCTGTATTACTGATTGCACTCATGGAAACTGTTTGGACTATTTGGCTCAGTGAGAGACCTATCAACAAACACTTTGTCGCATTGCCGATGATAAGTAACTAGGAAACTGTTTATTTTTTCTTCTACCACCACCAGCATTGTTTAAGACTTCACTTGATGTCAAGCTCGAAAGCTTCTGTTCGGTGATCATAATTACTACAATATCGAGGTCGAAGGAAATGATAAAACATTCCAAGATATACATCATGTAATACAGCAGTTCACCGAAGAAACACCGTGTACAGCATACGGGCAGACAATGGGCTACGAAATAATCGGTTAGGATCCGGAGCTCTGCACTCAACGGAAACAAATATTGAAAGATGAACGGTTTTCCCGAATAGCAGAGAAAGCTAACTAAATTAACGATACTAATTTTTTTTCCCTTTTGCTGAGATAGTGGTGAAGACAAAACGGACAGCTTGTTCCCCTATTGGCTTGTAACATGCTTCAGAGAAATGCAGCAACTGATTTAGCTTCCATCTGTTTCTAGTGGCTGAAGGTATAGCGATTCCGGTATCAAATCGCCTATTCGAATCTGCTCAAGATATACTTATGAAGATTTTTGTCCACAGATGGTAGCTCCTAGTGGATGAGACGTAGCCAAGCAAACACATATAAAGGTTGTGGGCTGCAGCGTCAAAGGTTTTCATACATTCCACACCGAATGTCGACCCAGAAAAATATAGATATAGGTAAGCTAGGTACATTTTCATAATAGACAATACAGCAACTATATCATAGGGATATAGTTTACATGGGATCAATATTTTGATCGTCTAACTCGTATAAACTCATCAGCCGACAGTCTTTTAACTAAAATTATGAGAACTATCGTTACGCTGGTTCTCTATTACAATTTTCTACATTTTTATTAAACAAGGGCGACGTGTTTCTTAGTGCTTAAAAATGTGGACGCGCGAATCATCGAATTTTCGCAGACCCGAAGCGAATTTTTCAAGACTCACAACTGGGTTGAAATCGCCGGTCCTGACCTCGCTCGAGGCTTACGCTCACAAGAGGTAGCTGCTCTGTAAAACTCTACACAGCCATTAAAAAACTTATTTGCAGTAGGCTCCGGCAACTTCATTCGACCCACGCCGGACTCGTTGGCAGCGCGCACTTCAGCGTTGATACACTTCGATCTTAGCTATTACTTCGATATAATTCGTCTAGCAGTTGTTCTTCACTTTAGCTTTTTCGTCGTTTTGCCTCATAGCTCGTTCCTATGCCTGGTAGATGAGCGGAGTATGACGATAATCTCTTTGGTTGTGGGAAGTTCAAGTTCTGCAAAAATCGCATTATTTAACGCCTCTTTTCCAGCTGCACATTGTATTACCGTGTGATCGACGTTGTCCTTCTCATCCAACAGATATAAAACGCAGATATTTGAGAAGGCCTTTTCAATTCAAACGATAGAAAGATTTCAAGTTATCCATGTCCATGTCAGGCCCTTTATACGCTACGTTTAGTGTTGGTTTACTGAATAGGCTTCTATATCCCTAGCTGTGTCTCAGGCATATGGGTTCGATAGAAACGTTTGTTGCAACTATTATCAGCGAGAAACGGACTACCTGAAGCATGCGGTCGCCATAGACGAGGTACGTGTCGCCCTTCAGAGAAATGTTAAGCAAAAGAATATTATCAAGTAGACTAGAGCGTGAATTACGCGGCAGCGTCGGATAAGCTCATGCTTTAAATCGAAGTTCCAGTGCTTTTACATATAATAGATATTAAAAGTATCGTTATGAATATACTCTGCGTAAGAAGGACACAGTTAGTGCTGCCAGGTATCCCATGTTCATGAGAAGGGTCACGAATGTACGGCCGTTTGCGCACAATAAGGTTATTAGGTAACAGTGCACTACCTCATCGCCATACTTCAATCATGGCCTGGGCGGAGAAAACAGGATCCGAACAGATTTTACTGTGTGACTTCAATTATCTTTACGTCCAAAAAAGGCGGTGGAAAACCGTCGATTCTTTCAAACAGCCTTCGATTATACACGGCAGTGTAAATCGTCAGTAAACGGCTGTTGAAAAGATCCACAGCGCTGGCTTCAATGTGGGAACAGTGAAAGGAAGAACAGCTGACAGATACGAAACAAAAACTGGAGTATGTTTTAAACTTATATGGTTTAAAGCGTCATATACTTTTTCGATTCAATAGATAGCGTGGACGATTTGGTATTACACCTCCCGGTTATTTTCAAATGTTCCCTTTTCGTCAGCTTTAGCCCGTTATGATTTTGCAACGTGACAACGTTTCTATTTATCCCTAAAGACATTTTTGTAAGAAATGAATCTATCGTCTTGTTTAAGCTGCTGCTAAAGTATGAAGCTATTCTCGCTGGCTGTTACGATCAATCCTATCAGTGACGAATACCGCAAGCACCATGATGTCTCTCCCATATGATTTCAGGCTTATTTGTAGCCTGCAATGAACAGCTAGAGAAAATTTATCCGAGGCACGTATTTTGTGTGGATCTATTATCATACCGTATTGCCTTAATTAAGTTAGATAGACATCAGTGGTGAAATCTAATATTAATGAAAGGTGTAACCGCTTCGGTTCTATTTCATCATAATGATAAAAATGCATAGATTGTTATTCGATTTTGAAGTTAACAGAAAGGTCGTATGTCTATCATGCGGGCATTGTGATGCAAGTTATTTTCCAATGCGAGAGATTACTTCGATAATAAACGTATTCAATCTGTTATGTAATGTGTATTATCTATTATGTCTACGTATTGTTTAAGTCGATGAGGCTACAAAAGAGCTCGACTTGCTTCGGAGCGGCAACACGGAGATGCACCGTGTGACGAGCGTGACAGCCGATAGGTCAAACTCCGACGCATGGAACTACTTAGGACGCGTCAGCTTGTATAGAAAAATCGTTACGCGCAAATGTACGATCTGCGTCAAGGGTTGCTTCATAAAAACACGATGGTTGCCAGGGAGAGATCTTTTCGCAAGCGTATGTCCTTCGTGTTAATGCCAAAAACAAAAACGACGAAGGTTATTGGATCTATCGATGTAGATAAATTCTTCCTTCACAAAGAGATTAACCTCTCCGATACAAATTAGCACGTCACCAAAGGTCATCCCTGGAGAGGTCAAAGTAAAGACCTCAAACACTGTTTACATTTGCGAAGCCCTTTTCCGAGATGGTAGCGTTCGTCAGCAGTACCTGACGTAACCCTTTTGTCACATACTCATTACGCCAATATATCTGCTAGGCTATGGCTAGTAAGTTGGATATTGTATATCAACAACCTAAATATATTAACGCATCAATATAGCTATGCGAAATAACCTATACGAAAAACTTTACTTTGAAGAAAAAGTGAGAGTTTGTAAATTATTTGATTGTAGGTCTAGTCCCAGTCGCCAGCTATCGTGCTTCCGTTCAACGTATTCACCAATATACTCTACGAAAGAAAAATTATAGATAGTAATTCATGCACTGCAAAGGGCACTGAATTGCAAAAGCCCTTGAAAAATAATTTTCTACCATCCTCTTGTAACAGAGAACAAATGTTCAGCCACTAAGAATATTTGAAAATCATTTGATATATATATATATATATATATCAATTATATTACATATCTAGTTTAAACTTACTCTCTTTTCATATTAGACGTATTATTATTAGGCTAATAACTAGCAGAAAACAAATGGCACCGTTTTTCTAAGGGACAAATAATAGGATTCAGTCGAAATAGGCGGCTCCGGGCAAAGTAGCCGGAATGCCGACTACGACTAGATGGAAATCTCGTATGGCTTCGCTAATATAACTCGTATTGTGGCAGCGAACAGAGAATAGAAGATCTCTGTGAAGAAAGCATTTCTCTCAAGAGGCCAGCTGCGAATATAAACAATAATAGGACCTTCATACTTAACGTTTTTCGACTTGTCTTCTCGGTTTTTTTCAACTTTTAATGACTCTCCGGATCCTTTTGAATCAATCACTTTTGTTAGGTTCGACCTGAACGAGTGACAAAATGGCCAGAATGCATTTTAGATGTCTTCGTAGAGAATTATTCATAGTTGCACAGATTGTGCATGTGAAGGTCAAATGGTAATGCAATTTTTAAGAAGGCAAGCTTCGATCAAGCCGTCATGTTATGCATAGGTGGCCTGAACGGAACCCTATCGCCTAATTCCAACATAAAAATCCTGAAATTTGATAATATAGGAGAAAACAATTGTAGATTAGTCCTGCTCACATTGTACGACGCGTCTCGTTGCCAAGAGCCCCTAGAAATTTTGTTATTATCATCCCGAAGACCATTTTTATCATATGGTCCTTTTGGGAATTTGTGAACCCAAGTGCTTTTGAATTTACAACTGTACCAGTAAATAGGTTTCTTTTACTGCTAAACAACGGTGACATGGTATGCCATTAATCTGTAGCAGGGTGACCTTTCCCAACAATAATGTTTGGCTTACATTTAATCATTACAACTATCGAAATACCCATGAGTTATAATGCTTTTGAATTTTCTAATTAGTCGATCGCTATTAATATATTCGATCTCTCTGCTCGGTTGTTCTAATATGAGAACACTACGTCATCAGCCGTTGCGAGACACGTCTCTATCTACGTATTATTTCCTCTTGGCTCGGTGTGCGTCGATCGCTGGGTCGCTTGTCAAAGTTTGTAATAAACTGCATGTTGATATATTTGTTTACCTATTAGATCTATGGAATAGGGAGTTCTGTCCTGACGACGCTGGGCGTCAACTGAACCTTCTAAAAAAGTATCAAGCGTAAACACGAGAGCTTGCACTAAATGAGCTGCGTCTGTCATTGCTGATAATATCATTGTTATTAGTATTATTCGTAAGTATTAGACATAAAATTAGGAACGTAATAGTAGTCGTAATGAAAATTGAGTATAAAAAAGTTTCTCACCGGGCGGCCTGTAGATTTCGATGCTGGGCCGGCCGCGCTGTTGTATCTTTGAAGCGTTGGCAGCGCTGGCAGAGCGACGAAGTTTTCCTGTGCTGCTGCTGCCTCCACCACCGCCGCCCCCACTACCACCACCCCCGGCTCCGCTGCTGCCGCCGCCTCCGTTAACTGAAGGAGGGCCGCCGCTTACGCCTCCACCGGTGGCGCACTTCGAACCGCCACCGCTTCCGCCGCCGCCACCGCTATTTCCAGTGTGCATCGCGCTTGCCTGTTCGCCACCGCGTTGTTGATCGTTCGTTCAGTGTTTACCCACAACGCAGAAACGAGTAGAAGCGCTCATGCCGACAGATGAATCGGGCAATAATGCACGAACACAACGATGCGTACGCAACGCCTCGTGACGAGTACAAGGTCGACGACGATGGCAAAATAATAAGGATAACATCAGACCGAACAGCGGCAATATCCGAGACCGTAAGCATCGTGAACAAGAACATACGAGGATAAGAAAAAAAGGGATGAGGCAGAAACAAGTACGTTAGAATTACGCATGCATATGGTATAACCACAGGATAGCATGGAACTGGAGGATATTAACTTCGTCCACTGTGTCATTATTATACAAACAGCAAATATTCAACTTAGAAAAAATATGTAGCATGACTGTATTAACATTTTATTTGAGATACCGGGAGTTAACGAATTATTGTTTCGCATAAAAAACACCTACGTACTGTTCCATTTTTATTATAGTCCCTTGCCTTACAGCTCCGAAAATTCCCATTTCTAGGCGGTGTTCTGCAACTGCTTCATTCCCCATAGCTCACAGTGTCTTTAATTAATCTCTATAAGAGTCGTCAAGAAATTATAAGATTTAACGCTACAAAAAAAAACAAGAACTCCCATATAAAAGTCATTTGGTAACAAGTAGTGTTTACATATATTTGTTAGAACTTATCTGAAGCTATTATTTATCACATCTACATCACCGCACTATAATAAAGAATCCTCAGGAAAACCATAGTGATGACTCGGTCTTTCTTATAGGGCTTTCGCATTAAGGTAACTGCATCCTAATCTTTATTTTTGGCTTAGGCGTGCTTTAAACATAAGTGCAAATTAAAAATCTAGAAGGACTCAGACAACAGTACTCGAGATCGATAGAATAGAAGCCCGTGTTACCGCTTAAGGTTCTTAGCAACATAGCTATAAATGAAGTAAATATCAGAATCAAGGTAGAAGATCAGTAGAATCAAGGTTGAATTGTTACGTTGACTGTATTACATAGAAGTAAACAGTAGTGCTAGAGCCAGCTCTTAGATTAAGCCTTGACGACCTGTTCCTTTATAAAACTTTTTGGAAAGAAAAATCTTTCTGTTATATGTCAAGTTCAGTCTGAAGCAAATTGAGTTAACTGTTATTGGTGCCCCGTGTATTGTTTTGATAACGGCGTCAGTGAGCTTATTCATTTACTAAGATGAAGCTGAGAGACAAAACTTTCATAGAATGTGCCAGCCCCATTGATAAGTCGTCCGCTAGCTGAAGCATACAACAATATAGAGAAGAGCTTATTAAATAAATCATGAAACAGTAATTACTCTGTAAAAATGGTATATGCGCATTTTTCTTTGTATGAATTCTTCATTTGGCCAGAACCATATTTGGTCGACAAATATTTGTCACTCATGCTAACTTTATTCTAAATCGAAGCTTTTTAAAGAGCACGCTCACTGAACAGTAACAAGCTATTCAGCTCTTCAGATCTGTTTCGGACAAAAAAAACTCGAACCTTTTATAGGGAAGGAAAAGCACACGCATCGACTTTTCAGATAGGAGACTGCTCATAGTATTCCATTCGGAATTGCCCTTGTCCTTATGCCGTAGCCGGCGTAGGTATATGTCTAAATGCTGAGAGCTTCTATGGGGGCAAACAAAAAAAATTCGGTCTATTTGTTCGCTTCTTTTACCCTGATCTTCTTTTGGTTTCAAGTACCATCACTACCACAATTAGGCTCCGTTGCTCGGGCTAGAAATATTAATTCCTCTTCAGTGACAATCGATGTCTCTCCAATCTTACTCTATCTGGCTGTCTTCGAGGCTGGAGGGCAAGCTAGATAGCGAAAGGAAGGAAACTCCGGAATGCCTGGCGTTTATTAGGCGTGATGATCCAAATGACGAAGATCGACGCGGCCCAATGTAATCTACGAGATCTGTGCAGACGGACGAAGCTAGCGAGCTATCTAAGTCTATCTGGTAGCCGTGTTGGAACTGACAGAAGCAATACAGCAAGCCGCTGGTATACACCGATTTTATGCGACGCAGCACACCCCATAAACATTGAAACTTACTATCCTCATCAGAGTGCTCCATGGCAGCTCAGGGTAGACACCCTATTCAACACTACCAGGGAGCGCAGGGGGGAAAGAGGGAGTGGTCATTGGGGAAACGCTGCCGCGCAGAGACGGCAAAATCATTCCCAGCAATAACTTCTTCATTATTGGTCAGACTCGTCTATCGGTTGCCTTATCGACCATTTCAATAATCAAATACGGCCTTATCCTTTGTAGCTCCCCAACCAGATCCCTATTCCGGACCTTCCAGACTGCGGCCATACAGTTAGAGGTGATAACAGACGCACTCTGATAATTCCCCCGCTGGTCCCATCTACCTCCCCCTCGAATCAACACCGAAATCTGTTCCATGTTCTAGAATCATGTGCCACGTATGGAAGATGCGCGAAAAGGCCACTACAGATTTCGATGCCGAGATTCAGGAAATCATGGGAATCGGTGGTGCACATATATTTGAATTTCCACTATTAACCACCACATAACTTTTCGGTAACGTCCTCTTTCTACGATAATTCAATCAAGTGGGGAACGCTGCTTATTATTCATATCATTGAAATACCCGGTAATTAATATTACAGGAGTTTTTGTTATTATTGTGCATTCCCTTCACTGGAAGAGATCGTACCATTAATATGTGTGTTGATATATCCTAATTCAGTAAACAAAGCAGTAGATAAAAGCTTCCCTATATTTATCCACTATTTCTTGAAGACTCAACAGAATTTTTAGGGGAATAGCCAGAAATTACTGGTTTTAGTGTGAAACATTAACTAGGCAACGCAACGGCAATCCCTTGGCCCTACGAGACGAAATTAATCCAGTCGCCACTGACTATCAAACCTCACAGAAGGTTTAGGCCTAAATTTTGCAAATAGGTCTTGATTGAGACTCACAGGCAAAATACCAATAAACTGAAGCTGCAAAATCTCTATGTTTGAGTCAGTTTTACCTATTAAACAGACCCTTTTACAAAGTGAAACAAACAGAGTGAGTATCTACATGATATATGATCTTTGTTTACATATGTAGACAACGAATAAAAAGAATTGTGTTACTTGCGGCAAAATCGAATACTCATCAAATACGACTTTGTGGCAAAAACAATAATTCTTATTAACTTGTTTAGTGTGTTTTAATACGAAACACGCCCATATACTGGTATTGTTAATGAAGTCGATTAATTTAGCTAGAATAACTGTTCCCCCTACCTCCTACCCCCTGAATTGAGTTTGGAGAATCAATGAATGCTCACTAGATGCCGCCGTAAAAGATGAAAATAGGTCGTGCCGATTTGATCTATATAAATAAACAGGTTTCATCTCGAAAATCTACCGCAGATGCAGTAGTAAACTGCACACGAATTGTCTATCGGTCTCACGCATCAGTCGATGGAAGTGTCAACGCGCACGAACTTCTGTGTTCCCTGCATCTGAAAGACAAGGTTTTAATATAATCATCGCTAAACGTATACACCCTATATTCCCAGAAAGTGTGTGACTGTAACTCCGAGTCAAGACGTGCATCTGTGATACAATCGTAACATTAACAATATCGTGATAAATCAGGAATATTGCACATAATATCTCACGATATAAGAACAAACTGCTTAAGAACGACTGAAGTCTAAAGAGACACGTGAGATGCTAATTAATTGTTTGTCGCCAGTACTTTCTATAACGTACACGTATACACGCGTTCATCAGACTGAGTAGATATCAGCTTCACACAGTCAGACACTGACTGGAGCAGTCTGACGACGTTTCTAGACGCATACAGTAGCATCGACAACGAAAACCTATTGACCAGTCTGTTCAAGATGTCTGATCAGGCGCTTGTACGTTTTTGTATACAACAAATGTTCAGGCTATACAAAATCAATTGGTATTGTTTTTTTTTGGTAAACAATCCGTCTAAGTCTTCCGTCATTTTCAACGTGAATTCAAGGAGCATTTTAGATTACATCAGACGACTGTGATTTATCAGCATTTGCTGTTCCATATCAGTGGGACTATGTCCATAATTTTAGTTATTTTTTTTTTTACTGAATAACGATTTGATGTATATGCCACAGTACCAATTGTGCAATTCTTGCTCCCATCCCTTCTCTTCCACACGCTGCGCTCCCTCTTCCATTCGTCTCCCCTTCCCATTCTCTCTATTTTTACGTCTGCGGTTTAATCCATGTCATAGCTACGCAACGTCGTGATCTGCAATCTGAGGCCCTTGAAGCCAACGTGTAATCTTCTTGCTTCAAACTCTCTCTACTCTTTTGCCACTTTTCGTTGTGGAAGTTTGATCAGACGGGTAATCTCATCGATCTTACGCTTGCGACGCTGACGTTGGCACCTAAATTTCTCAAGCTGGCTAAGTGAATACATGTATATATATATATAGATATATAGGGAGAGAGAAATGCAAGTATTACTAAGTAACATTGCTTGGTAAATGCGTTACCAATACATGTGCAATTTTCTTTACTCACATTAATTATCTATAGTCTATATCCGTCCTAGGCGGTCTTGAACCATAGTCCTCTGACCTCATTCCAACAGTACACTCAGTAACCATGAGGACTTATTAAAAACTAGAGAAATCACAGATACAACGAAGATCATAATTTTAAACAAAACTCTTCGGATAGGTAGCTTCTTTTGATTGATTCGTGATTAGAAGCAGTGGTCTGATAATTTTTCAAACAATTTCGTCATACTTATCTCTTTGTTCCGCTATGATCTAATATACCGTTAAGTTATTTTGAAAACACACACATATTGCATTAAATCATGCTTATATTACATAACATATAGACTCAGCATACATGGCCGTACATATCCGTTCCTGTAGTGGCTGAAGAACCATCGTATGGAATCGAGTATATCATATATATATATATATATATATATCGTACTAAATAGAA